CATCTCCCTGGGGCCACGGAGAACTCAGATCTGCAGTCAGCAGCTGAGGCCTGGATGGAGTGAGGTGTGGCACACGGCTGGTGCAACATCCTTCACACACGTGCTTTGTTAAAGGAGAAGTCTCCCAGCCCGGGCCCGTGTCTTCCTCTCCCACTGTGCTTCCCGTATGTCAGTTCACCGGGCCCGGTCACCCAGGTGCTGTCACCGCTGGGCAGGCTCACGGTGAATCCCACCAGGAATCACTGAAAGAGCCGGACGGAAAAGGGCAGGACCTCTCCACTCACAGGCATCCCAGAGCTCCCAAACCCCCGGGAGGGCAGCGGGGCTCAGGAGCAGAGAAACTCATGGAGGTGAACTTGCTCTGCTTCTCTCTGTGGAGGTGAACTTGACGGTTTGCTCTTTGCAGTGGAAATTTCACTGGTTACCCTTGCGGGGAAGGCAGGGTGTCCTGAGGTAGGGCACACAGAGGGCTAATAAGGAATAGGCTGAAGACTCTGTGGCAAGAAATAGCCTACATGGAGGATCCCTGTGAGACCTCAGTGGAAAAAAAAGGGTCATCAAAGAAGGATGTACTCTTCTCTGAAGGGAGGAGAGGACATGCACTTTGCTTATGGCCATGTCCAAATACTGATGGAGTCTATGGTCTCAGGGGCTTCCATAGCCTTGGCAGCCCATGGCAAGAGCCTCGGGTGATCACTGACGTCATAAATAAGAGTTTTAACTGTTAAAGGAACAGCAGAAATCACTGTGCACTTACTCCCCAAATAGGATCTCCGTCCATAATGAGTTGCACTATGAGAATTGACTGTAGATTTTGCTCCCAAACTGTACTCTATATGTTGTGTGTGTGTGTGGGTACAAATTGTTGAAGTCTATGCTTAGCATGGAGTTGGTCCTCTGTATATAAAGTCAAACTAAAAATGAACCATAATGAAGAAGGACATGGGAGAGAGAGAGAGGGAAGTGGAATGGGAGTTGGGGAGGGGGAGAGGTGGGTATGGGGGAAAGAACCTGTGTATTCCTAAAGTTCTATCTATAAAAATGCACTCATTAAATAAAAAATAAAGAAAGAAAAAGAAATTAAATTAAAAGGAAAACAAGGAATAGGCTGTGTTTTATTTCTAAACTGCACTGTCATTACACAGCTGATCTACTTCTTATTTTTCTTGAAATTTTCACCCACACACATATGTATAATCACACTCTGCTTCCATATGCAGCCAAAAAGAGGAAGAGAGAAAAAAAAAAGGCAAAAGAAATAGACTGCAAAATCCTAGCTCTGCGCCACAGAGCATATCTTCTTGCCCAGTGTGATTTTGGAACTAAGTCCTTCTCAGAGCTGTGAGAAGGCCTGAGCCACACATCCTCTCCAATAACTTCATGTGCTGCCATGTGGTACCAACACCACCAACACGAGTCTCCGGGGGACGACGCTCCCTGTTTCTAACTGGAGGGCTCTCATCCTTAGAAAGCTGTCAATCAGAACCCAGGGCACTGAGCTGGGGGTGTGTGGCTGCAGTCCAGGGAAAGCTACCAATGAGTATGCAGAAGGCAGTGTTTATGCAGGGGGCGAGAAGAAAAACGAGGGAGGCAACAGTATGTAAATACACCTGCACCTGTTTACCTTCCCACACACGCAAGTGTAATGACACATTCACGCGCACTGGGTGTTGTGCATGAAAATCAGGATGAACAAATAGAAGCAGGTAGCAGGACGGGAAGGAAGGGAAAGAGGTGGAGTGGAGTTTGGAAGAGACAAGCTGTGTGTTCAAGACAGTAGAGGCGGCTGGCAGGAACGGGTGGGGAAGAGATGGTAACGGAAGATGGTGGGGGGGGGGGCTCACGGAGTTGGTGACTGTAATGCTGCTCTAGAAGAAGAAACTCACGCAGCACAGATGTGGCAATGAGTCGGAACGGCCACAGCGTGACACCACAAGCCTCACGCTGCTTTCCGGTTCCCAAGCAGTTTCTCCATGTTCTGCCCTAAAAAAATGGGAGCGGGAAAAAAACGTGGGTGGGAAAGTTTCTCAACCTGTATATATGAAATATGTAAACCTTGTATAACAAATAAAATTTAAAAAAAAAAAAAGAACTTGGGAGAAAAATACCATCCCAAGGCCTTGTGACTGGGCACACCCTGGGCAGTCTAATTATGGAACTTAATTGCTTTATCATAGTGTGCAGGCTCCTGCATAACCTACTTCTAATCATGTCTTCAAATTCATCTTCTAGTATTTTGTGTTTTACACACAGTGTTTCCCCTGCACTGGCTCTTCTCCCTCTCATTTTCGGATCGATTCATTATCAATTGCTACATAAAAATGCCGCCCCAAGGCCAGTGCTGGGGTACAGTGGGTCAAGGCACTGGAAAGCGTCTGCATCCCATAGGGGAGCCCATTGTGGGGTCCTACCTGCGCCTCTTCTGATCCAGCTCTCTGCTATGGCCTGCGAAAGCAGCAGCAGATGGCCTAAGTAATTGGGCCCCTACACCCACATGGGAGATCCAGAAGAAGCTCCTGACACCTGGCTTGGGACAGGCCCAGCTCCAGCCATTGCAGTCATTTGGGAAATGAACCAGCTTCCTGAATCAACACGCTATAAGAGAGGGGATGAGAAACTTCTAGCACAAACATTGGCACAGTAGCGCTCAACAACTTGAACAACCGTGAAGAAGGAAGGATGCCTCATGGTAAATAAATGGCTAGATGAAAAACATATCATCTTTTAGCTATTTATCAGCAACCCCAAGGTAACTCAATATTTAATGTTGAAAAAGTAGGTAATATTCTTGGAGAGGCTATTTCACTGGATCTAAGACATAACAGAATTCTCCTGAGTCACACTTTTTCCCCCTTGAAAAAATGGAAAGGGATCCCCAAGGCGAAAGTGATGTGCTTTGGGATAAATATGAAATGCAGCACTCCAATTGTGTCAGGGATAAGCCGATAGCCAATGAGTCTTTCTAGTCAGTCATGAAAACAGGGCATCTATAATGCATTTACAGTTTCTATGCACCTAATAAATGTGTAAAAATACCAGGGCCACAAGGCAGGAACTTCTGAAACCACTGAATGGAAAGGGATTCACTCCAGAAAATCATTCGCGTTCCATGTGCTCCTTTATTATGTTTTTCTTACCCTTTTTTTCTTAGCAATCTTAAGCCAGGTCAAGGCACTGCTATATCCTAACTGATTCCTAAATTTTTGTTTTGTTGTCTTTTTTATTTTTTTTATCTTTTTTGACAGGCAGAGTGGAGAGTGAGAGAGAGAGACAGAGAGAAAGGTCTTCCTTCTGTTGGTTCACCCCCCAATGGCCACTACAGCCGGCATACTGTGCTGATCTGAAGGCAGGAGCCAGGTACTTATCCTGGTCTCCCATGGGGTGCAGGGCCCAAGGACTTGGGCCATCCTCCACTGCACTCCCAGGCCATAGCAGAGAGCTAGACTGGAAGAGAGGCAACCGGGACAGAATCTGGCGCCCTGACCAGGACTAGAACCCAGGGTGCCAGCGCCGCAGGCGGAGGATTAGCCTAGTGAGCCACAGCGTCAGCCAATTCCTAAATTTTTGTATGAGTTCAAGAGGTATTGCAAATTTCTTCAAACCATTTGAAATAAAATTAATCTGCACTTGAAGTTCACAACCGTTCAAAACAGAGAAAAGCAAATTTAAAGGCACAAAGAGCCTGCTGCAACCTGCTCAGCCATGCCCCTACCCGCATCTCTGAAGTCTTGCCTGTATCCATCTGAGCTGCGTGCTTCTCCTTACCTAGACTACTAATCCACACCCGGTTTTCTGAAGCCAGTGTTGCTACAAAAACTTCGAACGGCTCTCCTTGCCCTTATCCCATGCTTTTCAAATTATGTCTTCGGTACTTTACAAAAATGTTTAAAAAAATCCTTTTGTACAGAGCACCAAATGATTATCCTAAATGCATATATATCAACTATCAACGCTCATCAGCTCCCAAACCCAAGTGCTTGTTGAGACTTAAGTCCAAACTCCACTCTGTGACCTCCAAGGTCTTGTAGGAACTGGCTCTTGCCTCATTCTCCTGCCCCTTGTCACTCCACGTTCACCACTGCTCATGCTAGCCAGTGTCCTGTTGCATGATTTTGTCAAGTTTTCCCAGTGCTAATACCTTATCAGCATGCCGAAAGACAGTTATCCTCCATTAGCCTGTGCGTGGGCCTTCTCTTCCTGCAGGTCTGAGATGTCAAACCTCACACAGCCTCCTCCACCCAACACTACCCCAGGGTGCTGCTCCACCCAACCCTACCCCAGGGTGCTGGACTTTCCACTTCTGCTCTGTTCATTTCCTTTACAATCTGTCATCACCCATATTCACTTTGTTTTATGGCATCTACTTGTTATCTCCATGAATATCGCAATGTAAATTCTGCGAAGAACTCTTCCTTATGTACCTTGCTCAATATCTGGCGTAAACTACGTGTATAACAAGAGCTGATAAACGAGTGAGCGAGCTACTAAATTTCCTGGCCCTCATTTCAGTATGTTGTGGAGATGCTTAACACTATTTAATGACACAGAATTGTACTTATACGGAACTTAATTACTTTATCATAGTGTAGGCTCCGGCCCAACCTTCTTCTAAACATGTCTTCAAATTCATCTTCTAGCATTTTGTGTTTTACACACAATGTTTCAACTGCACTGGCCCCTGATTCATTATCAATTGCTACATAAAAATGCCCCCCAAGGCCGGTGCTGGGGCACAGTGGGTAAAGCCACTGCAAGGTGCTGGCATGCCATATGGGAACCCGTTGGGGGTCCTGGGTGCTCCACTTCCAATCCAGCTCTCTGCTATGACCTGGGAAAGCAGTAGAAGATGGCCCAAGTCCTTGGGCCCCTGCACCCACATGGGAGACCCAGAAGAAGCTCCTGGCTCCTGGCTTTGGACAGGCCCAGCTCTGGCCGTTGCAGCCATCTGGGAAGTGAGCCAGCTGATATAAGATCTCTCTCTGCATCTCTTTGTCTCTTCTCTATGTGTGTCCCTTTTCTCTCTAACTTTGCCTTTCAAGTAAATAAACAAACCTTTTTTTAAAAAAAAAAAATGATGGCTTAAAATAGACAGTAATGGTATCACACTCTGTTGATCAGCAATGGTGGGGTAGTTATCATGGTGGCTCGGGCTCAGGTTCTTTTATGCTGCTGTGAAGATGTTCAGTGCAGTTGCAGTCACCAAAGGCTTGCTGGGGCCTGCGAGACCAGCTTCCAAGACCGTTGGCTCCCACAGCTGCTGGTGGCAGGGCTTTCAGTTCCAGGCTGATTGCTGACGTGGGGATTTTGGTCCTTGCCCTATGACCTTCTTTCTGGGCTTTCCTGAGTTTCACATTATTGCAGCAGGGTTCCTCCAGAGTATGTGACCTAAGGGAATAAACACTGCATTGGCTTTTGTGGGGAGCAACTCGGACTAGACTAAGTTACTGGAATTAAGACTTATTCTATGCATCTGCTCTCCCACAATATGGCGCTGGGAGAGGAGAAAACAGCTTCTACGCAGCTGCCTCTTGCCAACTTGAGTGATGACCTCCAGGAGCTGATCCTGCTCCTGATTGGAGGAGAGCAGCGTACTCGGCGTGTGGGCAGCCGAGTTGGGATTGGCGGAAGAGGACTATAAAGGAGGAGAGAGACAACATGCACCAGGAACATCTAAGAGGAACATCTATCTGAAGGAACACCTGTGCAGCCCCTGAGAGAGCCGGCCGGCGGTGTGCCGCTCCCCCGCGGAAGTGGGGAAAGTGGCCAGGGGGAACCGCCCTTCCACTGAGGTGGAAGGGACAGTAGCCAACCTGGGAAGAACCAGCAGCAAACCCGGGGAGGGCCGAGCAGATGAAAGAACAGCGCAGGGTCCTGTGTCGTTCCTCCACGAAGAGGGGGAGCGACGTAATGGTGCCGTGACTCGGATAGGAAGCCTAGGCAGGGTTTAGTGTCGTTCCTCCACGAAGAGGGGGAGCGACAGCTTTTATAACCCAGCCTTGGGTAGGTTATATAGCAGTAGATACTCTACTGATCACAAAAGTCAGTCCTACTCAGTGTGGGAAGCTACTACCCCTTTGGGGTTATTGGGGGTTATCTTGGAATTTGCCTTGCAAATCCAGGTTTGCCTTACATGAGTCATGTATTTCCTACATATGCAACCCTCTGTTAAGGCCACCTAGAAACCCCAGCCCACAAAGTACCAGCTCAAAATCCAGAATTTTCTCAAATAACAGAGCCAGAGAAGATGAGGATTCTCAGGTACAATTTTTTTTTAAGATTTTATTTATTTATTTGAGAGGAAGAGTTACAGACAGTGAGAGGGAGAGACAGAGAGAAAAGTCCTGCCTCTGGTGGTTCACTCCCAAGATGGCTACAATGATTGGAGCTGCGCCAAAAGGAAGCCAGGAGCCAGGTGCTTCTTGCAGGTCTCCCAGGTGGGTGCAGGGGCCCAAGCACCTGGGCCATCCTCCACTACTTTCCCCAGGCCACAGCAGAGAGCTGGATTGGAAGAGGGGAAGCCAGGACTAGACCCAGTGCCCCTATGAGATGCCAGTGCCACAGGCAGAGGATCAACCCACTGCACCACAGCACTGGCCCCAAGTACAGTTTAAGTACAACCATTCGGATTCAATTTATTTTCACCTGAACGTCTGACAACTACATCACTGAGTTATCTGTATCCGTATACACTGACATACAGCAGAAGGTTGGCCTTATAAGACAGCAACTAATGAAATGCCCACTCAAGAAGTGGGGGAATGAGAAGCACACAGGACCCACTGAAATCCAGCTGACAAATATCGAAAGCCCCTTCATTAGCACGCCGTGTTACTCCTACCTGGGGTAACTCCAGATGAATCGGGCTCTGCATTCATGCTCTGGGTGCTACACTCTCAATTATCCCTGCTTTGCTATGAAGAGTAACCTATATTGGAAAATGTAGATCATTCCTTCTTTCTTTTTTTAAAGAAAGATTTATTTATTTGCAAGCCAGTGGGACAGAGAGGAAGAGGGAAAGGGAAGAAGAAGGGAAGCCGAGAAGTATGGAGGAAGAGAGACAGACAGAGATTTTCATCTGCTGGTTCACTCTCCAAACGCATGCCAAAGCCAGGGGTGGGCCAGGCCAAAGCTGGGAACTCCATCTAGGTCTCCCACCTCCTCCTTCCAGCAGTCCAGTAGCATATATATCACTCTGCTTGGTGGTATTCTCCAAGTTCTGTGTGCTATCTTTATCCTTTTTCATTCTTTTTGCTTATCAAATGGGATGATTTCCATTGGTATACCTTCAAGCTCACTAATGTTTTCTTCCGCTCAGTCTCGTCTGCTATGGAATCCCTCACTGAAATTTTTACTTCAGTTATTATATTTGTCAGCTCTGATCTACATTGGGTAATGGTTAATATTTTCTGTATTGAAATTCTCAGTTTTTAGATTGTTCTCCCTATTTTAATGACCATCTTTTTGATGATTATTTTTGAGTTCCATATCAAGTAAATCACATATTTGCTTTTCATTAGAGTTGGCCTTTTTAGATATCTCGTAATCTCATTTGGAGCATATTCCCTTAATTATTTTCTTGACTTTCTGTTTGGTATCTCCACATTAGGTAATACAACAACCTCCCTACAAATAGGTGGATACTGGGGACCGGCACCATGGCTCACTTGGCTAATCCTCCACGTGCGGCATCAGCATCCCATATGGGTGCCGGTTCTGTCCCAGTTGCTCCTCTTCCAGTCTAGCTCTCTGCTGTGGCCTGGGAGGGCAGTGGAGGATGGCCCAAGTGCTTGGGCCCCTGCACCTGCATGGAAGACCAGGAGGAAGCACCTGGCTCCTGGCTCCGTGTCGGCTCAGCGCCAGCCGTAGCAGCCATTTGGGGAGTGAACCAATGGAAGGAAGACCTTTCTCTCTGTCTCTCTCTGTCACTGTCTATAACTCTACCTGTCAAATAAATCAATAAAAAAAAAACAAAATAGGTGGATACTTCAAAAAATTTGTGGAAATGGAATTCAAAAATAAACCTATTTTGGTATTCTAAAATTAAATTCTTGAATAGTTTTTCATAATATGTATATTCCATTAACTGTCCTCTTTATATGGACAAAAAATTTTTAAAAAGATGACAAGATGGAGATTTTCTGCTGAGAAAACCATCTGTATTAAAAAATAAAATGAAACTTCCATAGTTGAAAAACTCTGGACTTAATGTATTCTTAAATTTATCCTGAATACGTACTAACAGAATAATTTCATATTACAGAAATATCTTACTGTGCTTTAGGTTTGCAGTTTACCCACTGCACTGTGAGAAGGCAGCACTACAGGAGCTGCACATTGTTGGTAAACTGATCTTGGAACTTCATATAGCAGTATCGACTAAATGAACATGTATGTGTATAACCTACGGCATACACCTAGGAGGCAAGAATACATGAATGAGACAATTTTAAGAGTGCACATAGAAACACTATTTTTTTTTTCTAATGACCAAATTGAAAAAAAAAAAAGCTGCATTTCCAACCACAGGAAATGCATAAACTGTAGCACATCCATATAAAGAAATACCAGGAAAATAAATGGAACTCCACCCAGTATTTGGAGGACCATCGCAAGAATAGCACTGGGTGACAGAGGCCAGGCATCAAAGAGTGCATGTGGTACAGAGGCCTTTGTGTGAGGTTCAAAACCAGGCAGAACTAACTGGTGATCGTACAGGCCAACATGTGAATGACACAGGGATCATGATTGGGAGAGGCAAAAAGAATCTTTCAGCTCTGGGTATCTGTGTATTGATCTATCTGCGTGATGATTTCACCAGTGGGTTCATTTTGCGAAAACTCACAGACCTGCCATTGGTGACTCTTACTGACAAAATAATTTACAAAGAGAATAAAAGGACTGTGCAAAGACAGCAGCAAAGATACAGACCCACCAAGGCCGACATGAGGTCCAGAGGCTTCTCTGGGTCCTATGGGCTCCGCAGTTCTTGGTTGGGTTTCTCTGGGGCCTGGGCGCTTTCCTCATTTTTGGTTTTAAGCGATATTTTCCAAGAAGCCCTTTAGATCTTTTTTTTTTTCTTGCTCATTTCATGTGTCGTAGGGTTTTCCCTCTCTGGAAAGCCCCAATGTCGAGCCTGCTGCTCTCGTCCACGCGAGCTGGTACTGCTCCATCCAAACACACGCCTGCCCCTGCTCCTCACGTCCTCTCAGCTCCTGTTCAGGCTTCTGGGTACGCACTTCTTGTTGGTCCTGCACACTGGCTGCAACTCCCGCTATTTCATTTTTCTCAACCAGAGATTTATTTTATGAATTGGTAGTGCAGCCAGGAGGAAGTCCTGAGCTGGAAATCACGGAGGCAGGTTTTCAAAGGCTTAGTGTGAGCAGGAAATTGTAACTGCGCCATAGCCAGGTGGATTTCTAACCTCCTCAAACGTGTTTCTCCTTTGCCTGATGGCAAAAGCCAGTGTAAACTATTTAATTCCACACTTACAGGATGAAGAACCGAACACAGCTCAGCCTTTGGCAAGAAGTGAGTATCCTTCTGCTCTATCTTCCTCAGTGCAGAGAAATGTGTCCTCTTTGGGCAACCCATGCTATGTCCTTTATTCATGTTTTAATTCAAAAGACAGTTTGGTGGTGGCATGAATCTATGTGACACACAAGCATACAGCTCTGTGGCTTCCAAAGAACAGTGTTAAAAATGCAGTTTTAGGGTCTAATAAAAAGGCCTGTGTTTGAGCACCACATCCCACTGTGCTTAGGTTCACAGCCCTCGGGATCCCCTGCTGCCCTCGAACAACGCACCTGCTATTTCGACATTGGGTTTTGGATGGCCATTGGAGAGTAGATGGAGGAAGGAGAGCTTTTCAAAAAGAAAAGACATTTCCAATATTTCTGGGAAACTGCTCAAGTATGTATATGTGTGAATGTTTTCTGAGCGTTTCGCATGTTTTCAAGACAAGCTGAGATTTTTTCCTGCATTTTCTGCCTGGCCCGCTCCGTGCTAACATCCACAGATGGGATCCCCCAAATGCAAGAGAAGGTGGTTAGACGGTGACTCCAACGGGGAAAATGGAGGGTTTCTCTGCAGATGGGACAGGAAGGCATTCCAGCACCCAGCTCAGGCAGTACAAGCAGCGCTGCTTGTTCCGATGTGCAGTTTTTGTGAATTAAGGGAGCTGTAAGACATAAATCTTAGAAATCTTCCATTCTTCTCAAGATGCATAAAAATTGCTTTCTTTGCTTAAAGGAGACTCTGGTATTGTTCTCCTCAGAGCAGTTAAAAGCTGACTGCAAGGCAAAGTATCTGAAATTGTGCTCCGTCGGAACTGGCTGGAAGACACAGAACAGTGACTGCTGCCTGTGACTCACTTCACATGCACTCAG